ATTACAAAATTTGTGGTTTTATTTTTCTTAAATATCCATTTTTAATAATTTGCATTGAAAACTACTCTCTCGATAAAATATCTCTTAAAAGTACAATTAATAGGGAGATTTTAATAAAAAAATTTGAAGTTTAAAAATTTATGCAGATTAAGATTACATTTAGAATCAAATCAAGCTCTTCTATTAACTTAGAATTGAAAGGAGTAATATATAATTTAGGTAAGCTAATTTTTTAGAATTTATTATGAAAAAATTTAATTTTCTATTAGCAAAGTCCTTACATCATAAGGAAGCTCAATTGCATCTTGCATACCCTTCAATGTTAGGTATAAAAGCAATCTTTCACCAATTAAATGAACATTTATTAATCAGGTAAAGCTTTCGTGCGGTTTAGTGTCCCACTTTATTAATTATTAATCTTAAATATAAGAACTAATTAACTAATTTAAATATATTAAAGAAATAAGTTAATTTAGTTATTTGTAATAAATAAATATTGTCTTTCCTAACATATCTTTACTAATTAAGTTTCTTAGCTAGAATTACTATTATTAGAAGAACTATTTTAAAAATAAATAAATAAATATGAAAAACAAAATAGATTGGGATCTTTTATTTAGAACTAAAACAAAAGTCAAATAAGGTCTTATATTAAGAATCAGAGGTAGTATTTATTTTTAGATTGATGGATTATGTAAAAAAGCAAAGTCCTAATTACATCATGCATATCTTTGTGCTCAACTTACTTTTTTTAAAAAATAAAAAACAGCTTGTTTGGCATTTTTTTTGGTTGAAAAAGCATGCTTTGCATTGAAATTGATTTACTTGTTTTATTTTCATATTTCAAATAATAAATCCGAGGGTCTGAAATAACTGGGAACGGAGGAGAGGGTATTTGGGGTCTAAATATTTATATTAGACGTGTGCGTGTGTGTGACGTAACTAGAAACATTTTTCATGCGTTCTACGGAATATTTAAACTTCTTAAAAAATATTAGAAGAAATATACCATTCATCTACCTTTTTTAATAAATATGGTAAATAATTTATATTCATGTCCTATTAGAGTAAAGTGAAGAATAGTGATATATAGTTCTAATATTATAGCGTTAAAGTGTATCTAACATTTCAAAATATTTTTTTGAGCGCATCCAGCATCCTAAAGTATTTTTCAAGAGCGTCTAGCACTTTTAAAAAATATTTTTGTCTTGATGTTGGATGCCTCAAAAAATATTTTATGGTGCTCAATGTATAAAAAATGCTTTAAGACCCTAGACGTATTTTAAAAAAAATATTTTAAGACGTTAAATGTATTATAAAATATTTTAAAATGCTAGATGTACTAAGAAAATATTCTGGAGTGTTGGATATATTTTAACCCAATTTTATATGGTGTGCGCATGAATCATTTCTATTAATGAAAGGTGGCAAACAAGAAATACTAAAAAATTAGGTTGACTAAGAGGTATATATATTTTTAAGTGAAGATTATGTGGTAATAATATTTTGGGGGGGGGGGGAGAAGAGGGCAATCTTATTTAAGCTCAATAGGGCTACAATTTGAACCAACAATCCTAATTATAACAAGCATATTCAAATCGCATGAATGACAAATAAATAAAACCTTGAAACTGCATGTCGTCTTGAATACTATAAAGAAGTTTTCGTAGGGATGTTTTGATTCAAATTATTAGAAACAATGGGACGCGTGTTGGTCTAACTATGCCCTTCATTAAATCAAGAGTTGTGATACCATTCACAAATATTTACAATTCAAGGTCAAATGGTTCTGACATTTGACTATAGCATAAAAATTGCTCTTAAAATCAACTAAGAGAACTCGTGAAAACACTTATGAAATATTTACAAATCATTCATAAATAGGATTTTTATATAGTAGCAGAATTCGAACTCACAATCTTACATATATTTTGAGTTATGAGTTAATTTTTTAGCAACTGATCAATCGTATTGATGCATGTTATTTAAAAACGTCTTGTGACAAAAACTTGTACGTGCCAAGTGGTTCTTTTTTTTTTTTTTTTGCTTTTTCCTAACCCTCGTTTTCATTTATTAAGCTTCAAAAGTTTCTCTGATTTTTTTGGCCATCACACCTCATTGCTTTGTCTTTTTCCAGAAACTATTTCCCAGTTAAATTTTTAAATGCGAATTTCCCAATCTTCCCAAAAGTTTATCCTTCATCTTGTGAATATTACCTCAATTTTTAATATAAAAATTAGTTAAACAGTAAAATTTAGTCCTAAATATAACAAGTCAATCTATTTTATCTTTCAAATTCATAGTTTTAGTCTAAAATATTTTTATTAATTGTAGGAGGTTCTCACCAAAATTTAATTCTCATGCACAAAATTAGAGAGTATAGTGTAGGAAAATCAGCATATATTTATTAAAAGTAATCAATTTAATTAATTTTTTAATCTTTTCAAATTAATTATTTAACTCTGAAGGGTAATAAACTAGGAAAATAACAATAAGAAAGATTAAAAATTATTAAATCTTAAATCAGGTTTAATAATACTATCTCTGGTCATTCATATAAGACCTTGTTTGACTTTTATTTTGGTTTTAAATATAAGACTTCAATCTACTTTCTCTCTCATATTTATATTTTTTTTCCAAGGTAGTCCTTCTAACAATAATAGTTCTAGCCAATACATTTGATTAACAAATATATTTTACGAAAGACAACATCTATTTATTACAAATAACTAACTTAACATCTTTCCTTAATCTTTTCAAATTAGTCAACTAGCTCTTATAATTAGGACCGGAAGTAGTAATACTTTACTTAGTGAATAAATTTTTATTGACATTCTTTATTAAGCATTTAGTATTTTTAGTTTTTTTTATCATTTTTTCTAGGAAGAATTACAATCAAGTCTCACAAAAAAATAATTACTAAAAGGTTCTAATAAACTTGAGCAGCATGTAATGATAAGTCCTATAGTGGAGAATCAAGGTATTGAAATCCAGACCGGCAATTGATCAGGTTAAGGCAATGAGTCAGAGTCAGTAGATCAGACCGAAGTCAAACCGGTGAGAAATAAAAAAATAAAAAATAATTAAATTTTCACTAAGAACTAGATATCAATTTAATATCTTAAATCACCAGTAAAATAATCACATCCTTACAATTTATTATAATATCATACTACTAAAATCACTAAATATTCATCCTAATAAAATATCAAAATAGATAATGATAACAAAATATTCCTTCCCATAAGTATTCAATCACTAAGTCCTAATTAACAGTTTTTTTAAAAAAATCATCAAAATAATATATATTTTTTTAAAAAAAAAGGGACTTGCGGTTAACCCATTAAAGTGGACAGGTTACCTGGATCATTACTAGGTCACCCTAGTTCATTCCAGGTCACACTAGGTCATTGTGAACCCAGTTCACAGCCTCAACTGGACTGGTTTCTTAGCCGGTTCACCGGTTTCCAGTCTGAACCGGCCGGTTCGGTTCGATTTTTAATACCATGTAGAGAATAACAATATTTAGAACTGTTTTGTTATTTTTTTCTTTTATAAGACCTGATTGTAATTCTCTCTTTTCCTAATAAATTTTTGAAACATAATTGGGAATTCTGCTAGTGACAGTAAGCCTGCGGACGATGGTCGCCTTGGCTCTAGCCCTGGCGATTAGAGCAGGGGGATGAAGTCTTTTTTTATTAAAATTATGTGAACAGCATTTTGGTATTTGCTAATAAATTAAAATTGATTTCAATTCAATCATTTTGATCATTGATGATATTATTTGATTATAAATATAATTATTTGTGAACAACAAATATTACGTAATATATTCCATAATTAAATTATATATTTAGCTTTTTTAATCTTTGCAAATTAATCAATTGGGTTTTATATTAAAAATCAGAAATAGTATATAATACCTCAATCTTAAAGGACTACTGTACTAGACTGGGTTAAAACTTATTAATTATAATAAATTTTTATAATTAGAATAACTAGTATAAAAAAGTTTAAGCTTAAATTGATTCAACGCTATAAAATATTTTAAAATGTTGTGTGAGCACCAAATATTTTAAGATATTGTATCACTGGAAAAACATATCTCAGAAAATTAGAAACACCTTAACATTAAAATATATTGTGTTTGAGCTGAACCTTAACTATAAAATATTCAGTTGGAGGCTTTTTCTCAATTTTAAAATATTCTTAAAAAAGAAACCAAATTGATATTTGGAAAGATTACAACTAGGTCCCATCTAAAGAAATTAAATACAAAAAGATCCCTTGAAATCATGAAATTATTTTGAAGTTTCAAGAGACTTTTTGCCAATAAATTTTATTTGTTTAATTACCAAATTGCTCTAATTATTTTTTTAAATTTGCATAATCAATTGAAAGAATTGTTGTTGACAACTTAAAATGCAATGATTGACAACTATCACGGCACCTTAAGTTGTCAATACCTGTCGTGATAGTTGTCAATCCTTATACTTTAAGTTGTCAATGCAAACTTTAAAAAAAAATTTGATAATTAAATAAATAAAATTTATTGCAATAAAGTTTTTTAGAACTTCAGAATAATTTCATGATTTCAAAAGACTTTTTTGTATTTAATTCCTTTAAGTGGGATCTAATTACAATTTTCCCTTGATATTTTATATGCACAAAATGTTATGGAGGAGTAGTACATTTAAAAGTTTGGCAAGTTCCTTCTCTACAGTAAAATTTGTAGTGGTTTTTCCCCCTCAACTTTTTAAATGAAATACTCCTAAAAAAACAAGCAAACTGGGGGTATTTTGGGAAAGAAATTTCAATCCGCAACGCATTTAGGTAGTGCTTGTTTGGAGGCGTTGTATCAAACGAAAATCCTGAAACGAAGGCGAAGAAATAAAAAAAAGAGTTAGATATGAACGTCACGGTACGTGTTAGGTAACAAAAGAACCAACAAACAGATAGGAGTCATCACACTGTGGCGCGCGCACTCAAAAATTGTTATCTTCCTTTTCCCTCCTTGCTTGGATCTATAAATTATCCATCTTCCCCATCACATTCACGCCAAGCAACACACTCTTTCTCCCTCTGTGTTTTGCCTTCCATCCCTTTCTCTCTCTATTACGTCTTCGGACCCAACTCCATCATCATTGTATGGCCGCCAATTCCAAGAGCCGAGGCATCACCAGCTTGGGGAAACGAGTCGCCAACCAGATCTGGACTCACAACTCGCCTCTCGCAACTCGCGACCTTCCTCCCTCTGCCTCTGCTCTCGCTGTCAGGTATGTAGTTCTCTCTCCGACTCCTGCATTTGGAGTAAGATTTGGTTGGATGAGCTTCTCTGGTTGTTTTGATTGTATTGTTTAATCGGAGAATGGTTCTTATTGGATTTTCGAAATGTTTTCAGCCTGTTCTGCCTATTTTTGGTGATATTATTATGTAGAGCGCGTGAGAAAGTACTTCGTCTGGCTATTGCTTAAGATTATTATTCCCGTGTGCTTTGTCTGATTAATTTACTGGGAAAATACTTGTTATTAGGTTGCTCTTTTTCAGTTTGCTTTGGTCGTTTTTGATGATATTCTGTAGAACACATTAGAAGCTACTTCTTGGATTGGTCCATTTGGAGCGGATACTTTAAGCTTGTTGGTTGTTTTCAGTTGTTTTCCTGCGAGCAGAATTCTTGTTACTTTCGCTATTTTTTCCACTTTATTTTGCTTATTTCTAGTGATTTTAAGTGGTGTACACGAATTTATGTGTGCTCTCCTACATCCAAATCTAGTTCTGGTTGATTGGCTCGTGCAACGCCAAAGGTTTGCACAGATAACCCTGGGAAATTTTGGGCATGCTTAACTAATCCGTTTATGTACAGAAAAAACTTTGGTCTAGAAGGGCTTTCAACTCATTCCTTTTCAAGTAGATTTTAACCTCGTAGTGGCTCCAATTACATACAAACAGATTTTCTGATCCTCGTAGCTCTATCCGCTTGGTTTGGGTCTATCATGCGTGAGCAGATGATTAATTTTAGCTTGTTCTTATGGCTGTTTTCGTGATTGTTTGCCGAGAATATACTCTCATCAGATTGCTCGTTTCGGTTTATTGATGTTTTTGATGATGTGGTAATGTGGGGCACATAGTGAGTTTTTCTGTTCTCTGTATTATCTCTGATTATGAAAATGTATTCTTAAATTCCAGCAGTTTTACTCTGGGGATGTGGTGATTACTTTTTCCTTCTTGCTGCATTGATTTCATTTCACTACAAGAAAATAAATTTGTGATAAACAATGTTTCTTCGAAAAATACTAATTCTACACAAAAGTTTTATTATTCGAGATAGAATATAGTTCATAATAAAATCAACTTGCAACAAGTTTTTCTTGATTTTCATTATAAACTTCTCTTGCTAATTTTATTATATGTTTTGGTTGTATAGGTTTGTTATTATAAAAAATCACAGTCATTTTCTAGTATCTTGAACAATTTTATCCCTTGACTTTTTGTTGATTTTTATTCCCGTGAAAAATTAAATCAACGAAGTAGAGCAATGAACAAAATCTTTTTTCTGGAATCTTGTTCCTTAATTATGGAGCTATTTGTCCTTTTTGGCATGAAGCAACCTCTTGTATATGTGGGCTTATTCCTTGTACTGTCGAGTATACGAATTGGGAAATTATTCTTTTCTTATCTTATCCACTTGCTGCTCCTCTTTTTCTTTCTGCCTTTCTTTGTATTCTTTTAATCGCTGAATGAGCTCCCACCCCACTTCTCATGCTTTATCTTTAGGCCAGCCATTTCCCATACTTGATATGACTTGCAAATTTTTTTTATCCTTTCAATTTTCTGTTAATTTTAGAAAATAAATATAATGTGTAAGATTCATTTAAATTTAAAATTCCACACACACACACACATTTTGAAATCAGCAAAAACCCTTTTTAAAAAATAAAGACCCAAAGGAAATTATTTTTCTTTGAGTTAGTGTGTTCATTACATCAAGAATTGTTGTCTATTTGGTGAGTACAGCCACCTTCCATTATGTAAATCAAAAGCATAATGGAAAATAACGTTTTGTCTTTCCTTTTTTTAAAAAAAAAAAATCCATCTGTTACATAAAGTTTTAATTCCTAATAATAAATATTATTTGATTTTTTTTTTGTTCTTATAGTTAAGAATTTTTATGTACTATAATTTTTTCACGTTACCAAACGACACCATGATACAGTTTGTGTCAATCAGTGTGACCTGTGACCTCACTGCCCACTTTTGTTGGCTCATGAGATTTCATTATTCTTTTTCCTCAATTATTAAGGAGATTAAAGATAATATATGATCCTTCTTTTAATGTGTAGCAGTTTATATATATAACTATTCATTATTCTTATCACCGTGATATTTTTTCCACAAAATGCCGTCATTTTCAGGCTTTCTTGTATTCAAAGCAGTGCCATATATTTTGTCATTAACTTGACCTTTTCACTTACTTCAGACGCTCAAATTTGACTCTGATTTTCTATTCAATGCATGGTGCCTGTTTTCCCTGCCTCTAGTAATGACGTGCAGTGATATTTTCGGGGGTAAAAAGACACGTGTCATTCTTATAAATACAGATTCTGTGAGGGATAATGATTCTGGGGACCAAATCAATCTTTCACGGCGTATCAATTTTTATAAATTGACGTTAAACTTAAATTGTGTAGGGTTGATTCAATTAAGATTCGCCTTAGTTAATGCCCAATAAGTGTATTAACTACTCTATTTGTTTCTTTAATTTATAATTATATCCTGTTTGAGGATTTAGGATTATCAATTACTTTTTGAAGAAAGCATGTGGGGTAGCTATAGATGATGATCAGAATTAAGATGGCAATTGCCTGGACAGTAAAATCTAAACTTGAAAACATTTTCCAGTGATAAGAAGATAAAGCAAAGGCCTGAAGGAAGAACATAAACATATATAGAGAGAGAGAGGACCCACTTTATCTTCTCTCTAAGATCCTTCTCGAATTGTTATTGGCTGGCTATCACTTCACACATGACGACAATGTAGGCATGGAAAATGCATTCTAATATTTAAAGCGCATTCTAATGAGTAGCTGTTACCGCATACCTGTGGTTTTAATTTTGCCTGAATTTTTATTTTTTATTTTTTAATAACATATAGGTATCTTTTTATTAGAGAAAATTCTATTTGAGGCACTAATATTTTAAATCTATGCAAATGTGGAAACAAGGCCCATTTCATAATCAATCTTCTGAATAACTTGTATATCTTGCACTATTGCACGAGGTATTATTACTGGACACGCATCTTGCTATAGAAACAGCAGCACAATGATGCTGCTTTGTTTCCCATTACAACAGAATCCGGATTGCCCAGATTTTATATACGTGTTTTCAAAATTTTTAGTAGTCAGAATTTGCAATCATGATGTTATTTTTTTTTGTGTATAAGCTGACCTTGAAGATAAGAACAATAGAGTAGATTCAATGAAGATCTCTTTAAGGTAGTGGCTAATAATTTTAATTATTTCTTTGAGCAGTGCCTGATGAATTTAATAGAGTATATTGATTTGATTTGTTTGTTTAAATACCCAATTAGGAATTATAAATTATTTTTGAAGGAAGGCGCGTGGGGCAGGTAAGATGGGAAAACGCATGTGCTATCAGGCCCCTTCACCAGCCTGCTTGTTGGGCATATCACATTATTAGTGTGACGTGAAAAGACCAAAGAAGGCATGGGAAATACCTTCTAATATTCTAAACATCGATATAGGGTTGTGCAAGAGCTTGGGGTTTGTTTGTTTTTTTTTTTTGGTTTTCTTATTCTCAAAACAATTTTATAAAATTGTTTTTAAGAACAAGTTTTGAAAACAAAGAACAAAAAAATTTGTTTGGAAAATAATTTTTAAAAAATCATACTTATGAAAAAGAGTAATTGATTATAGTGATTATGAAGAGTAATTTGAAAAAAAAATATAAAAAATTACACTTTGACAAGTAGTAGTTATTATCGAGAAGAAAATTTTTTCAATTTTTTTCAAAACTTGTTTTGGTTTTCCAGTTTTTAAAAACATATTATTGTTTTTTTGTTTTTGAAAATAATCAATTAAAAAAAAATTGCCAAATAGGTTTTTTTATTTTTTTGTTTTTAAAAACAAAAAATTCTTTTCAAAACAAGAAATCAAACAAGTCCTTGATATATATATTTTTTTTGGGTTAAGTATGAGTATCCTTATATTGAAAGTAATCTTGCTTGAAACATTATTATATACTAAATATAAATACCTTTCTTACTAGTTCTTATCCCTACTGATAAAACTCAATTGTTTAGCATAACCTACTTCAACCCAACCTAATCCAACTTGATCAACACCGTCTGACTGGGTTAGCCTCCTGCTTTTAAGTTTTTAACCCCATCTGACATGTGTTTGTCACGTGATCTTATGGACAATCCATTGCCTTTGGATGAATTACATGCAAGGATTACAATGTTAGAATACTCAAAATTCAACTGATTTTTCAGATTTTACTTGTCTTTTTATATCTTCTTTTTTCCTGAGCTGAACTTTTTATATCTAAGTTTATCAGAGTTCTCATGAGATATATTAACAATATTTTTTTTTCCTCAAAAGATATACTATTCCCTTGAGTCCCAAATATAAGATCTATTTTATAGTGTACATACTATAAAATGGGTCTTATATTTAGGACCAGAGGAGTATTATATTTTAAAAATTCTGAATTTTAAATTTTAAATGAATTCATATAATAAAATTCTAAATTTTTAAACGAACTGATGCAGGAGGGCGGCCTACAGTACACTGTACGAGAAAAATTTTGATGATCAAGTTCGTCCAACTGTAGTTCCGGACGATGTAATCCAAGCAGCCCATTCCGACAAATATTGGGCTCCACACCCACAAACTGGGGTATTTGGGCCTCCAACCGACAATATCTCTCCTACTCCTACTGCTTCCTCTGCCACCGGAAGCAACAACTTCCACCAATCGTCGACCACCGCCAATGCCGGTGCAGCCTCCGTGCTGGAGGAGAAGGCCTGGTTCCGCCCAACTAGCCTGGAGGACTTGGAGAAGCCACACCACTTTGCTTAAGCTTTGATACTACTACTCCTCCTTTAAACACACACACACACACACACACACACACATATATATATATATATATTTATATAAATAAGGTGCTAGTAACTAAACTGGAGTGGTGTGGCGTGGTGTGGTGTGGTGTGGTGTGGTGTGGTGTGCTTTGGTTGCTTTGGGTGTTATATGCTTGCTGAGGAGGTTGCAGTATATATAGCTGCTACTCATGAACAGCATTATGTACGAGTGGCTCTTGCTTCGCTTTTTATGGACCATTCGTAACGATAATAAATCCATAGTTATCCTTATCATAATCATTTCCATTGGCACTATCCTTTTTACTTGAATAGTGGTTGCTTTGAGATCTCTACCATTCAAAATATAGTTTTAATTATTTAGATTTGACATTTTTAAATGATGGTTTTTACATAAAAAAAATAATATCTTGAAAAATTGACAATGAAAAGATCATTTTTAATTTATATATTGTACACGTTAAAAATTTTTTAAAAAAATAATTGTAAAATAAAGATAATCTGCAATATTAATTTTTTTAAAAAATGAATTTTTATTTAAAAATTATTAACTGAAAATTTCAAATCTAAATTATTAAAAGTGCATTTGGGCGATATAAATCTGACTACAATAATGGGTATTATAATTCAAATCACTGTAAAGAGTGGAAATTAATTCCTTTTCATACAAGTTGCCACCAAAATTTGCCAAGTTGCATGGTTAGTACTTCAATTTGCTAAGTTAGCATTTTCTGTAAGTAACAGTAACAGTATTAAAATTAAAGGATTAAAAGACACTTTTTATATTTAAGAAACTAAACTAAAACTTCATGTAAATTTATAAGGCCAAAAGTATAATTTAGCCTAAATTAATTACTTATAAACTTTAATTGTATAGAAGGGTAAAATAGGAGAATAATATTTAATGCTATAAATATTACCAAACTAAATTTATATTTTGGATGAAATCAATTTTTAGAAAATTATATATCATATATCATAGGAGTAATATTGAATTTATGGTGAGAGATGGATTTGCTTACTACGTAGAAATGGAGTAAAATTTAACAGTTGTCAACTATCATTCCCTGTGATGAGAAGATGGTCATGGTAAATTATACAAAACTCTCCTTTTGCCATGCCTTCCACTAATATTTTTAAAAGAGAAATATGTTGGCAATAGCACCTACAGAAAATGATTAATCCGAGTCAAGTTCCATGAATGCTGTCCTTAAGAGTTATTCTATAATCATCGATAGATAAGAAAGCAGCACTCCCCAAAATTAAATGAACTCCTCCTGTAAGAATAGGATAAACAGAATAGCAGAAGGTAAAAGGTAAACCCAGCTAGGCAACATAAATTTCAAAGGAGGAAGAAGGTATACACAAAAGCTCAAGTGCGGATGCTTAAGCCTTTGTCTCGAAGTATCTTATATAGGCCTCAACCCACTACACCATTGAACGCAGATTAATAACATTAATATCACCGTTTCGAACGTTGCAGCTAGGAAGGTGCTTAATTTAGTGGTTTCTGAACATTTTCTAAACGCTACGTAATTAAGACACATTAATATCAGTTTAAGACAAAATCCGTTACTGCAATTAAAGGATAATCCGTTCAGGTAGCATTGAAGTCTTTACATTTTTAAGGATTTCAAAAAAAAAATCAAATGTAATAAACAATGCTTTTAGGTAGAGTCGGGAAAACGGTCCAAGTCTATCGAGCCGCCCCGTTTAAGTCTTAAAATTACGAGGGTTAGGCTAGAAATTTTTTTTCTTAAAATGAGAAATAGGCTCTGTAGGACTCGTTTTATAGGGCCCAGGGCTTAAACGGGTCGGCCCGTTTAGGCCATTTATAATTTTTTTTTGTTTTTTAAAAAAATTTTTGTGTAATTTTAATATTATTAATTTTTTACATTGTTAATAAGATTTCCAAATATTTAGTTATTATTATCATTTTAAAATTAAATTTAACAGAATGGTTTGATTTATTTAGTTTTAGAAAATAATTTGTCTAATTAAATTTTTAAAAAATGGGCTAATTTAGACTACTATAATGATTTGATTTATATTATGTGTTGATATTTTTAAACTATATATATGTGATAAGAGAGTATTTTTATACTTACATAACTTGTGATTTTATGATTTTAATTAGAAATTTATCAGTTTCAACAACAATATTTCTCAAACTAAAGCAAAATAATAGCTACACTGCAAAATTTAAAAGTGAAATTCCTATAAAGAAGGAAAACTTGATATTGTTGTTATGAAAGAAAAGCATACTTATGAAGAAGAGTAATTGATTATAGTGATTATGAAGTTTCAAAAAATTAATGATAGTGTTTGTTTATTGCATATTTGCACTATAGATGAAACTTTTGATGTTGTTATCTTGTTAATGAATGTAGATGTTCTTGGATGTTGATGAATATTTATATATGATGATATTTTGTATCTGTAACTTAATTTTATTCATATTTATGTCTTTTATTAATAATTTCATTGGTTTATTTTCATTTTTTTATAAAAAATGTGAGAAATATGAAAAATAGCATTTTTTTCCTTAAACGGGCTGAAAGCCTGTAGGCTGGCTCTAAGCCTATGAGTTTAAGGGTTGGACCTAGCAAATTGGAGGTATTTTTAAAATTTTGACCCTGTAAGGTCAACCCTTTGAAGCCTACCAGCTCTGCAGAGTTGCTTTGTATTCCTACCTCTACTTCCAGGTAAGCTTTAAAATTATTACAAATTAATTTCAGATTAAATCTCTAATTAAAAAGGTGCCTTGTCCGGCTCTAATTCGTGCGGGAGGATCACCAGATTTCCATTGCGTTTGCCTCCAGTGGCTCATGGTCATGCTCATGAGATCCTCCTTCTTTTTTAAGCCCATTCACTAACGCAAGAACACAAATTAATATTTATACCCTTGTGCTCCCATACTCTTGAACAAAATGAGACTTGTTCTTTTTGACACACCCACATTATATATGGTAGAAGAATCCATGCTACTAATATTTTATAGGGTAAATTATACAGTACTCTTATAAATTTTAGGTCAACTATATATAACCCTTCACATTTGAAAGTTTAAATTTCACATCCATAATTTTTTTAAAAAAAATTATGAATCTCTTGTCATTGATTTATTGTTATCTTTTTAACTGAAATTGACATGTTGGATCATTAAATCACATATGACATCCTGTGAGGCATCCTGCATTATTTGAAGATTCACTTTATTTTTTGTTAAATAATATTAACAGTATTTTTTTAACAACAAAAGGATATTTTATTAAAAACAAAATAAAGGGTACAATTAGTCTAAAGGACTAAAGAACAATTAAAGAAAAACCAAGTCCAAAATTAAACGAAAAAGAAACAACTAAGTCATCCAATTTCGGAAGAGTCTTGCAAGCCACGAGCAGCCATGGTTCCTTCTCCTTCCACCAACTGAATCATTATCTAAAATACTTTTGAAGATTAGATGGTACAGTCATGACCAATCCATAGGATGCCATCCCTCTCTTGCCAATAGCTGCTAGATTTTCCTTGCCTAGCAACCAAGAAAAAACAAATGTCTAGTTTCAGATTAATCAGTTGAAGGATTTTGACAGAAACGAAATACTTTGTCACTCTACTTTATCTAGAGATCTATTTTGAATTAATATAAAAAGTTTCTCACAATCCATTTCAATAATAATTTTATGATCTGAAAATTTGTCACAAATAAGTAGAGCAAATTTAAAAGCAATGCATTTGGATTGAAAAGCAGTAATGGGTCTGTTTGGATTGGTAGTTAAAAAAAAATTATTTTTAATTTGATTTTTGAAAAAGTGAAATTGGTTAATGCTATTTATATTTGGATTGAATTTTGTAAAAGTTAGTTTGTAAAAATAAAAGTAGTTTAGATTATGATTAAATAAATGAGTTTAGTTTGGAAAAAAACCAAAATGGGTATTAAATAGTGAAAAATGACAAAAAATAAATTTACATAATATGATGAATTTAAATTATTTTAATAGGAAGGAGTGAAATTTAATGACTGAAATATATTTTAAAAAGTTAGAAATATTATAAATTTTTTTCTAAATATAAAGTGAAACATAATTTTGAAAAATTAAATGAAACATACTTGATCAAACTCCCCAAAAACATGCCTACAAAACTGAAAATGAAGATGGGAAGGATTGGGAAACAATGTAAAGTGAGGAAGATAAGATCAAAACCATGATTTCAGAAATGCTTTTACAGTATACGAAGTAAATATGTGGAGAAGATTGCCTCGATTTGCAGAAAAGTGTTTCTGAAAAGTGATTTTAAGGGCATCCAAACACTCCCAAAGAATCTTAGAGGGGAGAGAAAGCAAGGAATATAGGTGGGAAAAAAAAAAACAGATTAGGGTGAACAGTGACTGGACTTCAACATCGAAGGCAGAGAGACAGTCTTACCAACCCCCTATTAAGCACAATTTGAAAAGCAATAAGTAGGACGAAATAACTTTTAAAATCGTGTAATTGAAATGAGCTTTTAGCTCATAAATCAAGTGGATATAAAGATTATCCAAACAAAGCGTAAATTGTTTAAATGTGTTTATTTGCAATAAGCTGCTTATAAGTAGTTTAGACCGTGAATTCAAATAGACTGATTATCATTAACTTTCCTCCTAATTCCTCCCAAGTAAGCACCATGACTGTCTCTACAGATGACTCCTATGCCTGGCTCTTCATTTTGCCTCGTGAAAGATCCATCTGTTATGACTCTCATGGGATCCACTCAAATGTCATTGAAAACGTAATCACATCTCCCCTTCCAAATGCCCCGACAAATTGCACCAACTAAGGATTTTCCATGGTCATCAATATGATTCCTAATCCTTTGCTCCAAGGAAATCTCCACACGCCATTTCTTGATAAAATTAACGGTTACATGAGATTCCCTAATAGTTTTTTCAAAAAAAAAAAATACACACACACATATAATTTATTTTAGTTCTATTTTTATTTATTTATTTATATTTATATATTGCCAAACTGTCATGGTTGGAAATCTAATATAATCTCATTTTAAATTCTAAATACTATCTTCAATCTTTAATATAAGAATTCATTTAACTTTTATTTTAATTCTAAATATAAAATTTTAATTTATTTTATCTCTTATATTTATTCATTTTATTTAAGTTAGTCGTAATAATAATGGCTCTAACCAATATATTTGATTAATAATAATATTTTAGAAAAAACAACATATATTTATTATAAATAATTAAAATAACTAATTTTCTTAATCTATTCAAATTAGTCAACTAATTCTTATATTAAATAGTAAAAGTAAGTAGTATGATATTTACAGGAGAAACATACCTGTGTGATGATAAATATAAAGTAAAATTCAAATTTAATATTACCTCCTGTCTTTACTATAAGAGTTAGTTGACTAATTTGAGAAGAATAAATAAATAAGTTAAATTAGTTATTTGTAATAAATAGGTATTTTCTTTTCTAAAATATTTTTGTTAATCAAATGTATTGGTTAAAATTACTATTATTAGAAGAATTATTTTAAAAAATATATAAATATTAGAAAAAAATAAATTAGAATTTTATATTTAGAATCCAAATATAAATCAAACGATATCTGAAATGAGGCAGTATATTTTTAGAAAAATTTCAAAAAAGGTCCTTGGAATATAGGAAATTTCAGATTGGGTCTTGGAATTTTGAAAATGACAGAAAAGGTCAGTGACCCAATCTGTCATTTGTGAAATTAAGACAAATTGACAATTTTGCCTCTGGCTAAGCAAAAGTGAGTAGTTATTCTTTAAACAAATCTAGGTAATACTTACACTGTTCTAGTGATTACAAGATTAATTGTAGTTAATAATAAGGTACCTGACTATGAAAAAGTGAGTAATTATTCTCTACACAAATCTAGGTAATGCTTACATTGTTTTAGTGATTACAAAATTAGTTGTAGTTAATAACAAGACACCTAACTATGAAAAAATGAGTAGTTATTTGATACACGAATATAAGTAACGCCTAAACTCTTATAGTGATTCTTTAAATCATTGTAGTGAATGAATACAAATGAAGGTAAAATTGTCAATTCTTCTTGATTTTACAAATGACAAATTGGGTCACTGACCCTTTCAGTTATTTTTGAAATTTCAGGATCCAATCTGAAATTTCTTATATTGCAAGGACTTTTTTTAGAATTTTTCCTATATTTTTTCCATCGCTCCATAAAAAATAATCTTCTGCGGATAAAATATACTCCTCCGGTCCTTATTATAAGACCCAATTTGACTTTTTATTTGGTCCTAATTATAAAACCCAATCCATTTTGTCTCTTATATTTATGTATTTTTTTTCCAAGATAATCCTTCTAATAATGATAGTTTTAGCCAATATACTTAATTAGCAAGGATATTTTAGGAATGACAATACTTATTTATTATAAATAACCAACTTAACTTACTTCCTTAATTTCCTCAAATAAGTCAATTGGGTCTTATAATTAGGACCGGAGGAGTATCATCTTCTAATGTTACCTCCGCCAAACGACCATGTTGGGTTCACGGGTATTGCCCTTCGCACCGATTTCCTCAGTTCAGCGAACCGATCCCAATTCGAAGTCTTCTTCTTCAACTTGTTCCAAGATACCACGAAACACTGTTCTTCCTTTGCCTTGCTCTTCAACCTCTACAGCTTCGCCTTCCATTGATGCCACCAGCAATAGCTCTGAAGAACTCAACCACAGTGATAATGAGAATCGCAAGAGTGCCACTGCGCAGAAGTTCACATATAGCAGAGCCTCCCCTTCAATCAGATGGCCCCACTTGAAGCTCTCAGAGATGTACCCATCTACACATACGCATGTGGAAGACAGGGAAGTTTCTTCATCCGTTGAGAATGCAGGGTTTTCTGAGGCCAAAGAGGAAACCCAGGAGGACCTCGATAATGTTTCCCCTAGTGATGTGAACGATGAATCACAGGAAACGTTGGGGAGGCGTAGCAAGACGAGGGTAAAGAAAATGAATAAATTGGCGCTGATAAGAGCAAAAGATTGGAGGGAGAGAGTACAGTATTTGACAGATAGGATTCTAGCTTTAAAGTCCGAGGATTTCGTAGCGGATGTGTTGGACGATCGGAAGGTTCAGATGACGCCAACTGATTTTTGCTTTGTGGTGAAATGGGTTGGGCAAAAGAGCTGGCAACGTGCACTTGAAGTCTATGAATGGTTGAATTTGCGGCATTGGTACTCGCCGAATGCGAGGATGCTTGCGACAATCTTGTCGGTGCTGGGGAAAGCTAATCAAGAAGCGTTAGCTGTGGAAATATTCACGCGGGCGGAGTTAGACATGGAAAATACAGTCCAAGTATATAATGCAATGATGGGTGTCTATGCACGGAACGGTCGATTCAAGAAGGTACAAGAGCTGCTTGATTTAATGCGTGAACGAGGATGCGAACCAGACCTGGTGAGTTTCAATACTTTGATTAACGCCAGGATGAAGTCTGGTGCTATGGTGCCTGATTTAGCTCTTCAACTTTTAGATGAAGTTAGGAGATCAGGTATTAGACCAGACATAATTACTTATAATACCCTTATAAGTGCTTGCTCAAGAGAGTCGAATTTGGAGGAAGCAATCAAGATTTTTAATGACATGGAGAAAAACAAGTGTCAACCTGATCTGTGGACATACAATGCTATGATTTCAGTATACGGTAGGTGTGGCCATTCTGGGAAAGCTGAGCATCTCTTTAAAGAACTGGAATCTAAAGGATTTTTCCCTGATGCAGTAACGTATAATTCCTTATTGTATGCTTATTCAAGAGAAGGAAATGCAGAGAAGGTTAGGGATTTTTGTGAAGAAATGGTGAAAATTGGGTTGGGTAAGGATGAGATGACATACAATACTATCATAAACATGTATGGGAAGCAAGGCCAGTGTGACCAGGCACTACAGCTTTACAGAGACATGAAATTATCTGGCCAAAATCCAGATGCTGTTACGTATACTGTTTTAATTGATTCACTTGGAAAGGCAAATAAAATTGTGGAAGCTGCAAATGTGATGTCTGAAATGTTGGATGCAGGAGTGAAGCCCACTTTGCATACTTATAGTGCTTTGATATGTGCTTATGCCAAGGCTGGAAAGAGAGTGGAGGCCGAGGAGACATTTAAATGCATGGTTAAGTCAGGGATCAAAGCTGACCGTTTAGCCTATTCAGTTATGTTGGATATCTTTATGAGGTTCAATGAGGTAAAAAAGGCAATGATGTTGTATAAGGAAATGGTTCGTGAAGGCTTCACACCAGATAATACCCTTTATGAGACCATGTTACGAGTTCTTGTGAGGGAAAACAAGTGGGAAGTTGTTGATGACATTGTAAGTGATCTTGAAGAACGAAGTGGTATGAATCCACAAGTTCTTTGTTCTGTTCTTATAAAAGGAGAATGTTTCGATCATGCTGCTAAAAAATTGAAAGTTGCCATCTGCAAGGGCTATGAATTGGATCATGAGACTCTATTATCAATTATGAGTAAATATAGTTCTTCCGCAAGATATTCAGAAGCATGTGAACTGCTCGAGTTCCTGAAAGAGCATGCTCCAGACTCGAGTCAACTGCTAACTGAGGCACTTATCATTATACTTTGCAAGGCTCAAAAGTTAGATGCTGCTTTGGAGGAATATAGAAATAATGGGGCCCTTGGTTGGTTCAGGAGAGGTTATACTATGTACGAGTCTCTTATTCTGGAATGCAAGCAGAATGACCTCTTTGAGGTGGCTTCTCAGATTTTTGCTGACATGAGATTCCATGGCCTAGAGCCGTCTATCTGTCTGTATCAGTGCATGGTGTTTGTCTACTGTAGAATGCAAATCCCAGAGACAGCCCACCACTTGCTGTATTATGCAGAAAAAAAGGGTATCGTACTTGATAATGTGTCTGTTTATATTGATATCATTGAGACGTATGGAAAGTTAAAGCTATGGCAAAAGGCAGAAAGTTTAGTGGGAAGTTTGAAGCAAAGATGTTCAACAGTGGATAGAAAAATCTGGAATGCCTTGATACATGCTTATGCCTTAAGTGGTTGTTATGAACGAGCTAGAGCTATTTTCAATACAATGATGAGAGATGGTCCTACCCCAACTGTGGATTCCATAAATGGACTATTACAAGCTTTGATTGTCGATGGGAGGCTGGATGAACTTTATTTGGTTATTCAAGAACTGCAAGATATGGGGTTTAGGATAAGTAAGAGTTCCATATTGTTGATCCTTGAAGCATTTGCTCTGGCAGGAAACTTATTTGAGGTGCAGAAGGTATACCATGGAATGAAAGCTGCAGGTTATTTTCCTACCATGCATCTTTACAGAATCATGATGAGATTGTTGTGTAAAGCTAAACGTGTTAGGGATGTAGAAGCCATGTTAAGTGAGATGGAAGAAGCTGGATTTAAGCCTGATCTTCAAATTTGGAACTCTATACTTCAATTGTATTCTGGAATTGATGATTTCAAAAAGATGGCTATTGTTTACCGGAAGATCCAAGATTCTGGTCTACAACCAGATGAGGAAACTTACAATACCTTAATTATAATGTACTGCAGAGATCGTAGACCAGAGGAAGGTTCGACATTGATGCATAAGATGAGAGGATTGGGTATGGAACCTAAGCTGGACACATACAAAAGCTTGATTGCAGCATTTGGCAAGCAACAGCTACTAGAACCAGCAGAGGAACTTTTTGAAGAGCTTAGATCAAATGGTTATAGACTAGACCGCTCTTTCTACCATTTAATGATGAAAATATATAGAAATTCTGGGGATCACATGAAAGCCGAAAATCTATTAGGCGTGATGAAGGAAGCAGGCATAGAGCCCACAGTTGCTACCATGCACTTGCTTATGGTTTCTTATGGCAGCTCTGGGCAGCCTCATGAAGCCGAAAAAGTCCTGGAAAACTTGAGAACTACTGGGTTAGTTTCAGATACTCTGCCTTATAGCTCTGTTATTGATGCATATCTCAAACATGGAGATTTTAAAGCTGCGACTGAAAAGCTCACGGAGATGAAGGAAGTGGGCTTGGAACCAGACCACAGAATATGGACATGCTTCATCAGAGCTGCAAGCTTGTCTCAAGAATCAGACGGGGCCATTAATCTTTTAAGTGTACTCCAGGCTGCCGGGTTTGATCTTCCAATCAGGTATTCATTAGTTCTCTGTGGTGATTGGAAGCTTCACCTGTTATATACATACATATATGCATACATGTGTAAGTATATATAAATGTCCATTAAAGTGTGTTACTTGATCTGTAGGCTTCTGAGAGAAAAATGCGAGTCAATAGTTTTAGAAGTGGACCAGTATTTGGAGAAAATACAACCTTTGGAAGACAATGCAGCCTTTAATTTTGTCAATGCTTTGGTGGATCTCTTGTGGGCATTTGAACTTCGGGCTACTGCATCATGGGTTTTCCAGCTGGCAATCAAAAGAAGCATCTATCGCCATGATATCTTTAGGTTGGTGTGAACCAAAAAAAAAAAAAAAAAAAGTTGTGCTATGCCTCTATTGAAGTTAGAAACTGCTGAGACATATTTTTTGAGTGACTGGATAAATTGAAAACAACCAAAAGAAAACAACAGTGAGACTAAAAAGGTGGCCTAACTGGTCAGCGAAACAAATGGTGATTTATGGTCTTAGAAGAGCAATTTTCAGTGTTAGACACGATTTATCTCACCAATTTTTAGAGTTTCCCTTTAAATTGCTTGATACATGTATCTGTTAACTGTAGAGTTGCTGAGAAGGATTGGGGTGCAGATTTTCGAAAATTATCTGCTGGCTCAGCTCTTGTTGGTCTTACTTTATGGCTTGATCACATGCAGGCAAGTTCCTTTTCCTACTGAAGCCTGTCGTGTGACACACACAGACTAATTCAATCTGTGCATTCAAAGTATGCGCTATTAAGTTTTAAGGCATATGCATGACCGTAAAAAGTCACCCGTCTAGTATTCTGACAATGTTTAAGGATAAGAGGAAAATGTTTTAGATGTCAATGAATTAAATGATTCCACACTAATTGATTCCTACCTAGTTCTCTCTGATTCTTGACAAACAAAACCCTGCACTTTCTGATCAAAGGCATAATTTTATGTTTATTATTTCTTTTTTTCCAGGTTTTTGCGTATTCATCAACCAAGCATTTGGTGGAGAGAAAAATTATGCAATTATAATAGTCTCAATTTGATCATTCTCCATTGAGAATTGAGATTTTATGTGAGATGATTATAGATCTTCATTATTTCACCCACCCAAGAAAAAAAGTTGTTAATGAGAACAAAAATCTTTGAAGGGCTGCGTGTGTCTGAGGCTGGTCTGCTGTCGTTTTATATCCAAACTTCAAAGACTACCCAAACTCTATTATAGTTGGACACCCGCTCGTGATTGCTGATATGCCACATACTTATTTTTCTATATTCTTTTCATTCAGTTTGGTCTTATTATGAAAGCTTGTGCGCTGACGTGGTTGGCTAGATTTACCATTAATTACATCTTGGATTTTTGTTATGGCAGGATGCTTCGTTGCAGGGTTGTCCAGAGTCGCCAAAATCAGTTGTGCTTATAACAGGAACGGCTGAATATAACATGGTTTCCCTCAATAATACATTGAAGGCATGCCTCTGGGAAATGGGGTCGCCTTTTCTTCCTTGTAAGACGCGCACTGGGGTCCTTGTAGCGAAGGCTCACTCCCTCAGAATGTGGTTAAAAGATTCCCCATTTTGCTTGGATCTGGAGTTAAAAGATGCCTCAAACATCCCTGAATTAAATTCTATGCAGCTTGTTGAAGGATGCTTCATAAGACGTGGCCTTGTTCCGGCTTTCAAGGAGATCAAAGAGAGATTGGGAATAGTGAGCCCCAAGAAATTTTCTAGATTGGCTTTATTACCTGATGATAAGAGAACTAAAGCCATTGAAGCTGATTTAGAGGGAAGGAAAGAGAAGTTGGAAAAAAGAAAGAAAATTGTTGACCCAAAAAGGCTTAGGAAGATCAAGCAACTAAGGAAAAGGAAGTATATCAAGGAAGCTGAGTTGTCCAAGAAAGGTGCGTTAGGCATACAAAAGACTTTCACGGCTGTTGGCTCAGAGTAAAGCAGGAGGCTAAACCCAAAGAATATAAACTCACAACTGTACAGATTGATTAACTTCTACTGTGAATAGATACTGTGTCTTATGATCAAAGATTTTTAGATCTCTAATTTCTACAATTTAACGAAATCGTTATTGCATGTTGTGATCCTTGTACGGACCCCAAGACTAGGCGACTAAATTGTATGGATACCTCAATGCTCATGATGATGTAATTTTACTGAAAATCCACTTCCAAGTGTATTCGGACAATTTAACATCGAAACTTCAGCAAAAAAAATTGATTCAACTCAATTGCAAAACAACAAACGAAGTATGGACACAAACAACAGAACTCAAGAAGGAACCGAAGAGCAATTGCAAAAGTGCAAAATTAAACAAAACATGCAACTATGTAGAATCAAAGGCTCGGCCCACAAATTTATCACTTTTGTTCAAAACTGAGGAAAACTCCCAGAATGTTACTTAGTTTCACACAAGGGTATACAATCTAGTGACAGGAAAAAAAAAAGAAGCCAAGCTGAAGGAATTTCAGGTCTATAAAACAATAGCTCTGTTCCAACAATGCGTGAGAGTTACTAGTATGAAAGCTAATAATTAAGCTTGCGCTGTGCGGCTCTGGACAGAAAAGTGAAAATCCAACAATTTAAACCAGATTCAAAGCACAATTGAGCGTCAATAGCAAGGTGCCGTGCGGCAATGCCACCTTCCATGTTTGGATGAGGTCTTAGGTTTGAATTTAGCATTGACATGCTTATATGCATGTGAGAGTTTAAATTATACTGCCTTTGGTCCTTAATGTAAGAGTTTGTGTGACTTTTATTTTTGTCCTAGATATAAGATCCTAGTTCACTTTGTCTCTCATATTTATCCATTTTTTTAAAGATAATTCTTGTAATAATAGTAGTTCTAGCAAATAAACTTGATTAACAAGGATATTTAAGAAAAACAATATCTATCTATTACAAATAACTAACTTAGTTAGTTTTCTTAATCTATTCAAATTAGTTAACTAGCTCTTATATTAAAGACCAGAGATAGTATAAAATAAATAAAAAAGAAACACCGTCGAGCACAATGCACCACAGCAAAAGGGATTTAAAGACGAATTCAGAAGGTGGCAGTTTGAATTCAGAAGGTAAGGACTCAGTAAAGGAAACAAAGAAAAGAAACACATGGTAAGTGACCAAAATTGTCAAAAGAGAAAAGCTTCAAAAGCAAAGCGATCTCAGAATCAATTAACTGCAGCCGAAAAATTCAGTGAATGCATTCATTCAAAATTCTGGTTCACAAATCTGTCGCTTTGTGTTCAAAAACTAAGAATTTCCAGGAATTGGCTTTCAAGATTTTCTGTACAACTTGGCAAAAATTCAGTGCAACTCAGTGGTCAACACATGCAGCAGAGGAACTGAAGCGCACAACCAAATAAAGACTCCAGCAAAAATTCAGCATAACAGCACTTGCAGCTCTCAGGGGTCTAAAAGCCTTCAGTCAGGGAAATCAAGGAAATCGATAAAGTATGACTGCGAGACCCAAGACGTCTAAATAAAATTATAGAATTAACTAAGGAACTGACAAAATTGATTTCAACCTTGAAAAATTAAATTATCTACATTTATAGAAAAGGTGCCACAATAGAAACTATTTATTGACGGACTCACATGCGATCTTTACATTCATCATCTCTTTTTGGGCCTCTCTCCATCTTTCTAAAGTGCATTATATACATTTAATTTTTTTTTTTTTTTTGGAATGTCAAAAATACATTCTGAAAATTTTCTGGCATAGTCCAGTACAGACACCAATCAAAAGCTACTAGTTTTCCAATCTGTCAGTCCAGGTCACTTTAGAAGGCTATGTTCAATTGGACGTAACTTCGATCTCAGTCACCAATAATCACGGCAAGAGCATATCCCATCCTTCATATGATGAAACCTGTTCGCATCTCTGACAATTATTTCTCTTCCCGTTACAAGTGAAATATGCTTGATTGCAGAATGACAGTCCCCACAAACCCGAAGGTTTTTGAATACCCTAATAGGTTTTGGTTTGGGGGTACCAATAAGAGCAAAAGCTACTGCAATTTTCTCACTATGTTGAAACAAATATTGTTCCTTCTGCTCATCCTCCACATCATGAAGGACAAAATCTGTATCAGGGACATAGCCAACCTTTTTAATTTTCAAAGCCAAGTTATTAAGTTCATTATAGATCTTCTCAGCTTCAGGGTGTGAAGTATCCCCTACATGGAATTTGTGCACCTTGTTTTCCACCTCAACCCAACTGCAACCTGCTTCTTTTGTTAAATTTTTCTGCTTCATGTTCTTTCTAATTTCTGCAACATCTTCCCATCGTCCTTCTGATGCATACAGGTTTGATAGTAGCACATAGGCAGCAGGATCATGAGGTTGCTGCTCAAGGATCATTTTTGCAGCATGCTCCCCAAGCTCAGTGTTACCATGAACCTGACAAGATCCAAGGAATGTACGCCATACTAGAGCATCAGCCTTGAAAGGCATTGAGTTAATAAAATCAATAGCTTCTGAAAGTGACCCAGATCGGCCCAGCAAATCAACCATGCAAGCATAATGTTCCATTCTGGGGACAACACTGTGGATTTCATACATGGAATTGAAGTGCCTCCATCCCTCATTGATCAAACCTGCATGACTGCATGCTGATAAAACTGCAATGTAGGTGACCTCATTAGGCATTACCCTAGCTTCAAGCATCTCATAAAACATTTCTAATGCTTTTGAAGCAAATCCATGCTTTGCACAACCAGTTATAACGGAAGTCCAAGATATGACATTGCGATTTCCCATGTCAGCAAAAACTTGTAAAGCAGCTTCTATGTTTCCACACCTAGAGTACATAGAGATTAAAGCATTATTGATGCAGAGGTCTGACCCAAATCCCGACTTGAGAACTCGAGCATGAATTTGTTCTCCTTTACCTATTGCACCAATACTAGCAGCTCCACTCAAGAGGCTAGAAAATGTAAAGGAATTAGCCCCTACACCAGTTTGTTCGATTTCATGAAAAAATTCAAAGGCTTCTTCGGAATTGAAATTTTTAGCATAGGCATCTACAAGTGTGTTATAAGAAATCAAATTCTTCTCAAAGAGAATATCAAAAGATTTGCGAGCACATTCCATTCTTCCAGACCTAGCATACATGCTAACAAGAGAATTTCCTACACAATTTACTGAGGAAAGACCAAGTTTAACCGTTTGGGCATGAAGCTGCTCACCAAAGCGTAAATCAGGAAGATTTGCACAAGCCTTCAGAACACTAGAAAATGTAAAATGATTTGGTGCCACATGACCCTGAATCATGGCACGAAACAAATTTATGGCTTCCTGATCTTGGCCATTAAGTTGAACATATCCTGTGATAAGTGCAGTCCAAGACATAACATTATGGTTTGGCATATGATCAAATACTTTCCTAGAATGTTCCACTGATCCATCAGCCGAACATTTTGCATACATGTCGACCAAACTACAACCCACGCACACATCTGAAGCCAATCCCGACCTTACAACCCAAGAATGTAATTGCCGCCCAAGCGATAACGATCCCAACTCCGCACAAGCTGATACAACACCGGTTAGAGTAAACCTATCTGGTTTATACCCAGTTAGTAACATTCTGAAAAAATAATCAATGGCATCTCCAGGGCAGCCCAGCTGTGCAAATCGTGTGATCATCAAGGTCCAGGTAACTACATTTCTCTCCCGCATTTTCTCAAACACCAAACGGGCAGAATCAATATCACTGCTGCCCTTCGCAAACATATCAATTAATGCACAACCAACACACACATCGGAATCGAAATACCCACTCTTTAATAGAAAACCAAATATTGCATGCCCGATGGAAACATACAGAGCATTAGAACACGCTCTGATAACTGCCGTAAAGCAATACTCATTAGGGCAAAGCCCATGTTCAAGCATGTCAAGAAAAGTGACAAGGGCATCATATTCCATGTTATTAATGGCAAAGCACGAAATCATTGCACTCCAAGAGACCAAGTCCCTCCTATTATCACCCATACTCTGGAATACAGAAAGCGCAGTTTCCCACTGGCCGCATTTGGAGTAGAGGCTGATGAGTGAATTGAGAAGAACCGAGTCCATCTCGAGTCCAGACTCGATCAACTTGCGATGAATGAGCTTCCCAAGCTCAAAATTACGAGACCTGATGCATGCTTTGAGGAGAATGGAGGAGTTGAGGAGGCGGAGGTGTGTGTCGTGGGGGCGATGGGTGAGGTCGAGGGTGGAAATGGCTTTGTGAAGTTGTGGGACACTGAAACTGCGAGAGAGAGCAAGACGCTCAAAGTTGGAGTCTTTGGGTAATGAAGAAGGAGGAGAGGGAAGGGATAGGCTCAGAGTCCTCATAGTCCTTTACAGGAAACTACAGCAACTGAAAGCGAAGACGACAAAGCTTGGCATCAGAGAAAAAAGTCACGTCCCTGAGAAAGCCTGTGTTGGGGATCAGTCAATAAGACTAATCAGCCGCGCTGGCCGGAAAGGATTTATCCAGTAAAGCACTTCTATATATCTCTGTGCGCGCGCGCGCGCGCGTGTGGGGGTATAAAGGACTATCTCAAAATATTTTTTCATGTGCGTTTTTTGTGGTATGATTTTAACCTCAAAGTATTGATTTTTTTAGAAATAATTTTAACCTCGTTGTTAACTCTTCAAATGTTAAGTATGTGCATCAAACATTCTGAGGTAGTGTTTCAGCAATTTTAAAGGTATTAGAGCTTGGACATACCTATTTTTTAGATCTGAATAAATTACAATAAATTTTAGGACGTTAAATATTTGCCAAATGAGTCTTCATCCTATATGTATTCCATCGTCACCTCATTATATGGTTTTTGAAAACTATTTTGTCTTAAATATAAGATAAATACGTGGTAATTAAATTATTTTTTTAATCTTACCCTTCCTTAATTATAATAAGTTGCCATATTTTTAATTCCTAAACAATACTTGGAGTCGTTTACTTTAGCGACAAGTAAAATTAGAAAGATACACATTATTTTTATAGTTTAAGAATATTAGCTACCCCTCTTTTAATAAATTATAATTTTTTTTTTATAAGTTCCTGAGGTAAACGCTAGGCAATAACACCGACTAGACACTTTCATTTAAAATAAAAATAAAGTTGTTGGGATATATTGGGCGCCCAAAGATGAGATTACGCGTCAACTCCAGTACTGTTATTTGTTTTCACAGATAATTTGGCCTCTCCTGTAGTTTCTCCCTTTTCCTTTGGTTTGCCTTTAGTTTGCCCACTTCCTCAGATCCAGTATGTTTCAGCATCTTCTCACCCCCAACAAAACTATCTGGCTGGTTGAATTAGCTTTTTAAAGTGATTTTACGATATACAAGAGAGGTGCTGACCTGAAATTCAAATTCACAAAAGAGATCCCTCAAAGCATTCACCAAATTTAGAGCTCCATTGTCTTCCAGAGGTTCTAGTTTCTCTTAATGTCGGCCCACCTCTGAAATTATTCGGATTTTTCTCCCAGAAGCTTATGAACAAGCATGCTTTAGTTATCATCCATTATAAGCTCGCACCTCTGATAAAGCATATCCATATTCGCTGATCTAGTTCCAAGACTATTTCCTTCATCTTCCTGAACCTTTTGTCTCCAAACTTATTTATGTTTGAGACGTGCATCTGTAACAGAGGCTTAGGGTAGAGAGCATTCAGGATGTTAGAGATTCCATAAGAAGCCATAAGCAAGTGCATGGTGGCAATTATGGGCTCAAACCCGCTTATTTCACCAGGACAAATAGATTTCCAGCTTTCCAATGATTCCCCTAATTTCTCAAAACTCTCATCATTATGCCGAAGAAACAACAGTTAAGGTCATAATTATTTGATCTAGACTCCTCAAAAAGTTCCTCAGCTAGTTCATTGTTGCTTGCTGAATATTGTAATGAAGAATGTGTCCAGCTTAAGTTCCAAAACAAGCCTCTCACTTATTTCATGCACCAGTGCCACACCTTAGTCTAGTCAATGATCTCTGCAGTACATAATCAACGTTTCATATTTCTCCCCACCTCGTTTTTGGATCAGCAAAGCATCTTAGATTTTCTGGTAAACAGCTCTCTTGTCCTCTAACTATTCTGCCAAAATTCTTTGCAGGAGAATAAGCTGCAGCTTTCATTCCATGACATACCTTCCGCCGCAGCACAAATACGTTTCCTGCTTAAGCAAATGCTTCAAACATCAAAAGCATGGAACTTCCCCGCGTCTTGTACCCCATATCTTGCAGCTCCTGGATAACAACATAAAGTTCATTCAGCTAGACAAATGGAAAGAAAAAGGAATAATCACTGTTAGTGATTTTGAAAGCAAAAGGTAAAAACCACAGTTGTTACATATTTCAGGAGAAATCATAGTTAAGATATACCCAAACCTCAGGCTAGGACACTTAAAAGTATCAATTTACATTAGCTCAATAACCATTTCTAGAAATTCTAAAATCACAAGTCAATCATGACTATGTTAATCATGTACATGGCAAATAAGAAACCGGGCAGTTAAAAAAAGTAGTGTACTAGATATGGGGCATTACGTTAATATGTCACCAATAGTCATTACACGAGCATCGGGCATCTTTAAAGTGGTGGAAGCGGTTTGAGTCTCTCACAATAATCTCCTTTCGATATGCATCTGATACTAATTTCATGAAGTTATGGCAATCTACACAAATACGAATGTTCTTGATAATTTTTATGACATTACCACCATAAGGCAAACCGCCTTCATTCATTATGGCAAATACCAATGCCATCTTCTCACTATGATGGAACAATTGCTCCTCTTTCTCCTCTTCTGTGTCGTACAAGGCAACGCTTGTCTCTGGCACATAACCCTTTTCCTTTAACTGTCTAATCAATATTTCAAGCCTGTTGAGTATGAGCTCCCTCTGTGGATGGCGTTGACCTCCTGAGGCAAACTCATGAACCTTCTTTCCAATCTCAATCCAGCTTAATCCAGGTTCTTTTCTCACCCTAGAGCCTCTCATTTCTTTCCTAATCAAGCTAGCTTCATTAAAACTACCAGCGGAAGAATATATGTTTGACATTTGCACATAGCCCAATGAATTTTTAGGCTCTAACTCCATAAGTTTATCAACTGCTAATTTGGCCAAGTGGGCCTCACCATGCTTTCTGCAAGATCCAAGTAATGCACTCCAGATTACAGAATCAGGTTTCATTGGCATCTTGTGTATCAAATCATTAGCCTCAACCATTCGCCCAGCCCGTCCAAAAAGGTCAACCATGCAGGCATAGTGATCTAGCTGAGGAGCATGTCCATAATTTTGAGGCATAGCGTTAAATATTTTCACTCCTTCTTCAACAAGCCCAGCATGGCTGCAAGCTGAGAGGAGAGCAACAAAAGTTGCAGAATCTGGATTGACATTCATCTGCTGAAACAGCTGCAGTGCTTCTCTAGCTTTTCCATGTAAGGAATAAGATTTGAGCATTGAATTCCAGGAAACCAAATCGTGGCAATCCATCTCATCAAATACTTGTTCAGAGAATACTAAGGAGCCACACCTTGCATAAGCATGGATCAACGCGTTTGCAATTACAGTGTCTTCTTGAAAACCCTTTTTAATTACTTGCGAGTGAACCGCCAAGGCATGCTGCTCAGTAACAAAGACTGCACAAGCCTTTAAGACAATTGAGAATGCATGCCAATCCAGTACAAAGTCATTCCGATGCATTTGGCAGAAGAGAAAAAGGGCATGCTCAGGATCTTGTTCTGCAAACACTGTGATAATAGCAGTCCATAAGACAATATCTTGATAAGAACTTGTTTCAGAGAAGAGCCTATAACAGTCAGAATTGCACCCGCCAAGATCTGCATAGGATTTGAGCAATGTAGTTCTCACTTCAACTTGTGAAATAAACCCACTTTTGATAGAGAGACAATGCAATTGGAAACACCTCCAGAGATGTCTGCTGCCAATATCATCAGTATTACTGCATTCAGACAAGGAAGAAAGGACACTAAGTAGGGTGGCACGGTCAAACCCAATGCCATGCTGATACATTTGTGTAAACAGGCAAATGGCCTGGTCGCCAAGTCCACGAGATTGAAATCCTGCAATCATTGAATTCCAAGAAATAAGATTTCGGAACTCCATTGACTTAAAAATGGTCCAGCCCTCATCTGTTTTATCATCAAAAA